AAAAGTTACTTCTTCTTTTGCAAACTTGCCTCTGATTAAAAGAATCCTTTTTGAACGTCTGTATCCTTGGTACATTTATTTGGCGGGGAAGGTGGGGGAAGGATTTACTCGCAAGCTTCCTGTTATTTTTGGCTTTGAGAAATTTCTCGGTGCCGTGCCAATGCACTTTTCATTTAACAGCTCAGGACACTGAAAATGTAACATGGGCTAAAACTCCAAGCTGTCAGTTCTGGCCTGTAAAACCTTACAAGCCCCTGCTGCTTCTCAGTGAAAACGATGCTGTCAGTAGTTTACACCCAAAATCTGATCAGTCTTCCCTTTTTTGTTGTTCTTCTCTCGTTTCCTCCACTTTCTTAATAGGGGGGAGCTGAAGCCCAAATGGCCCCCATATTGTGCGCTTCTGTCCCCTTGCAGATCATGCACATCGTGCCTCTGCAGGCTTGAAGCAGAAGCTAATCTATGCTTGGAAGTGTGCTTAGATTGCGGACGCACGTGCCAGCTCCCAGTCTGATGTAAATCAGTGCAGCTCCACTGATGTCAGTGGTGTCATGTTCCTTTACACCAGCTGGTGACCTGGAGTCAGTGGGGCTCCACTGATCGTCACCAGCTGAGGATCTGGCCCGCACATATAAATAAACTGGGCTCGTGTTGGCTACAGCTGTGTTTGGGAACATGGAAGATAAATGTCCGTGTCCACCAGATGGAAAAAAAAGAGTCAGACGGTTAAGGAAAGGGCTCTTACTTCCCAGCTTTCCAAAAGGGATGTTATAAATAGTGCAACGTTGCATACATACAGCCAACCCTTTGCAGCTGGTAGCTTATAATAGCCCAGAGGTATCAATGCACCCATTTTGAAGATGAAAATCCTTCCTCTGCAGAAGACAGTGAGCCAGACGCCAATCTACAAAACTGCCACCAAATGCAGAAATGCTTTTCTTTTTCCTGGGGTCAAGTTGGCCTCAAAGCATTATCATCCTCCTGTGTTCAGCCTTCGCCGGCTGCAGCGTACGTTCCCCCGGCACATGCTGGGGCGTTTAAGAGCAGAGCACGGATGTAAACCCGGCGGTGCTCGGGAAAGCTGCCACCACCTTTGTAGGCTAAACAGCGGTGTCTAAAAAGGACTGGCTGCCTGCCCCGCTCTGCGAACAGCCCAGGCAATGACTCGACTGAATCAAGAAATCTGTGTGTTGATGATTGACTCTTTTTACCCGTATTAATCTCATTTGCTTTCTCCTTTTCACACAAGGTTTCTCCTCGGTGGTTAGTGGTTTTTTTCTTTCTCTCTTCTCTAATGTCTCCTCTTTTGAACTTTGTTGCTGAGATTAACTTTCCTGTTGGTTTTCTTTTGGATGTTTTTCTCCTTGCCTTCATCAACCAGTTATTATCATGGCCCCCACCTATTCCTGCTTTCCCCTCCCTAGCATGAGACCAGGCGAAACTTCATTTAAGTGCATGGTTATGTTCGCTCTCCTGCCCACGGACAGGCTCCAAGAACAGGCATCCTCCTTGCTGCCAGTCTAGTTTGGATCGGAGGTGCGTGGTCATTATTAGCCAAGCAAAGCAGGAAAGAATGACTCATCCTGAGCAACAGTCATATGCCGGCTAGTAAAACAAAGCTACGGTCTCTTTACCTGGTGTTTAGGGGGTGTGTACGCTTCAGTTATGAGGTTTGACTTCCGGATGGGCAGGCAGATCCAAGATGGACTTAATCCAGCTGGCTTGAGCAATAGTAGCATAGACACCTGCATGGGAACTGGGTGTTTAGTTGGCTGAACTCCATGCCACTGTGTCTTCAACGCTATTGCTACCCAAGTCTGCTTAGATGGAGGCAAGGCTACATATGCCAACCCAGCCACCACTCCGTCACCCTCAGTCTGCTTGTCAGGTCCCAGAGATCCCTGCCTACCCCACTCCCCTCTTCGGCTCTCAGTTCAGTACAATCAAATGCTTTTCTGGACCAGTGTGGTTCCTGTCTGGTGTTGCAAAAGCAAACGTTTCTGTCCCTCTCCACAAGAAGCAGCCCCTAATTTCATGTGGGCTGTTGGCACGTGTAGGACATAGTGCAGTGAAAGGCTAGCATGCACATTGTGGTGAATTGGAAAGCCTGGGCCAGCAAAACGAGATGCTGCAGCTGTAATTGCTTTACAAGGAGGAGGAAGGTGGGGAATGCTATCTCGGGGTCTGCATAAGGAATAAGGGTGGTGTGGGTGCACGCAGTTGTCAACACCAGCATTTCTTCCCCCATGGATGGATGAGATGGGGCTACAGCTATGCCTGTTCGGGAGGCAAGGTCTCTGCTTTGGAGAGGGCAGCTCTGCGCATCTGTGCTGGACACAGGTTTAAGGAGAAACTCAAAAGGAACATGGGAAAAGGTTGACTTCAGCCAAGGGGGTCTCTGATGGCCAGGGAAGGAGGCCAAGTGATATCTGTGAGAGACAGTGGGTGATGGTGAAGAAGCCAGTCTACTGGGACAGAAATCTAGCGGGTGGGAGTGAAGAGGTGGTACGAAACAAGAAAGCAATGTTGTATGGGCTGTGGCTCGGGGCAGAAGGCAGCCTCGTAGGGGAGAGACAGACTAAAAAGAGAAATCGCTGAAAGTAGGTTTGTCTTCCCTCGCTGAACAAGGAAGTGGGCGCACAGCGTCTGCATGCAAGTATCTGAACTCTTGCAGAAAGGTTTCAGAATGACATTGCGTGCTCGCCCAATTCAGCCAAATTGCGTATCCAAGAAGTTTGGTTCCCATGCACGGAGAAGTTAAGAAAGCGCCAGCTTGTACGAGTGGGAGAATGAGGGCATGTTTCAGAAGAGGAAGCAGCCGGCATACAGCCCATGATCTCACCAAAAGGTATTTCCCCACATCGTGCAGCAGCCTGAGAAGCGTTGCAGCATTTAGGAACTGTCCGATGCCTATGGCTTTTACCTCATGACGGGATCTCATGCCAAATAGAAGATACTGCCCAAGGCAATGGTAGTGAAAGAACTGTGTCCTCTCCTTTCCTCGTGATCCTAGATACACTGATGCCACACCTACACCAGGCGTTAGCTGCTTGTGCCGTATCTAGACAAATTAGGTATTAGGTCAGTCATATGATGGGCAGGGCATGCCCGTCCAGAAACTGCAGAGATCACTTGACACAGCCGCACTGCAATGTGGAAGAATTAATATTCTCGTTTTACTGCTGGGGAAGCTGAGGCACGGAGCAGACTCACCTGAACTAACCTGGCGTGTCTGCGACAAAGCCGGCCTAGCCCTTCTGCCGGGCTGTGGAGGGCAGTAACGGGCCAGGATCAAATGTCCGGATTGCACACACACGCTCTCTCTCAGCTTGAGCCCGCAGCCCAGAAACCTGGAGAAATGCATTTTACCTGGGTGTCCCAAAGTGAAAAAACTGCCCCGCTCAACAAGCAATAGTCAATTATAACAGGGTTCGTTAAAGGGGGACAGGAACGAGCGCACAATCTTAAAGGAAACCCTAGCTGTTCGGTTGTCACTGAAACCAGAAACTATTAATGATTACTGCGTTCAGCCCTTGCACAGGGTCAGCTTGGTGACTAGTAAGGTAAGTGTTGCTGCTTCCCCAAAATCTCCCGTCTCCTTGGGATGGCACCATTAATCTCTTGAAGAAGGATGCTAGTCCTGCAGCACGGACTCGCGCTCCGTTACAGAGCAAACCCATGGGAGCTCTCGTACCTCGCCCGGCTGCTGGGAAGCGAGACTCGTTATTCACTGACCAGTTATTATCGTGGCCCCCATCTATTTCTGCTTTCCCTTCCCTAGCATGAGACCAAGCAAAACTTTATTTAAGTGCATGGTTATGTTCGTTCTCCTGCCCACAGACAGGCTCCAAGAACAGGGATCCTCCTTGCTGCCAGTTGTGCTTGGATCGGAGGTGTTGGGGAGCTCCAGGTGCCGGATAGGGACATCCACCCCCCCGGAGATATCCACCATTCCTCACTGCCAGGGTCTCTGCTCTGCTACCCCTCCCTCTGCACCACTGCTGGGGACCGCTGCTCCTTGCTGCCATGGGGGTGGCCTCTGCTCCTCTTGAAGTTGCTCATACAACCCCCTCGCCCCCTTACTCTTAGATCCTGAGCTCTGTGTCAGGCTCTTACCGAAAAAGAGTTGGGTGGCAGGTCTCTGCCTGAACCTGTTACAGGGACTTGCATCTCCAGGTACTTCTCCCTTAGCGAATTGATGGCAGCTGCTGCAATATCATCTGGCACCTGCCCCATCTTGCCCCCGCCCCAAGAGGAGAAAGAAGGGACCCAGTCAGCCTGCAGGACCTGCAGAGGTGGCAGCGTCCCTGGGAAGGCACCTCCAAGGACTGCCCTTCAGTGGAGGCCGAGTGTCTGTCTTTGACGTCTTGTTAGGGGCTCTTTGGAAGTGAGTTGGGTTTGTTGGGGGGAAAGGAAGGATTAGGTGTGTTTTGTGCTGGGAGAAGGGCAGACCTGCAGTTCTGTATGAGCTTGGAGGGGGCTTTAGGGGAGGATGGGGTGGGAAAAGGTTTCTTATATCTGGGTGCAAGTGGCAGCTGGGAGGCATGGCTGGGACTGGCAGGAGGGTTTCCTTATGGGAGGGAGGCAGTGGTTGGAAAGAGGGGGGAGCTGGGGTGTTACTTGGGGAGTCCTGTGTGTGGGCTCAGCCTTTTGGATAAGGAGGAATGCATCAGAAAAAAATAAAAGGAATGAATAATATGAAAAGAGACAGCTCTGGCAGGAGCCCCCATGTCGGTCACTCACTCGAAGTGTGAGGGCCACTGCACTGCAGACCTCTGCACAGGGAGCGCTGCTCCCTCGGTGGCCTTTGCCCAGTTTCTCAGGGCATTTGCACTTTATGCACTCGACTAATTGGAAAGGGAGGCCTGTGCACACAACAACCCGGTTCGCTGGCCCTTTACATCTGAACATGTTTACTCCCAAATGGTGAAACAGGTACAAACTGCCCCAAACCAAGCAAACACACATACCAAGGAGGAGGAGGAGGCAGATAAGGGATAGGATACACGATGTTTATTGCAGCAAAACACGTGGAAGATAAGCAGGGTCAGGCTGGGAGCCCGAGCAGCCTCGCTGTTATTGCTGTGCGTGCTCGTTCTCGGTATGTAGCAAAAGCAAGTGCACCTTTCTCCAGAAACAGTGCAGTGAATTGTCCTTGGGCTTTTCTCAGCTCCTTCTGGGGTCGTATTTCCAGTGATGCCAAAGGTCGATGAGTGCTTTATTCTGACTTTAATAGGGCTGGTGCAGTGGGCTGCCCGCAGTGGGCAAACCCATTGTCTTAGCTTCATCTCCATCCACCTGAGCATTGGGGGGGAAGGAGAAAACACCACGGGGACCTTTTATTCTTTCAGCCAAGGTGTAGACGATTAACTTGGAATAATGGGTGAGAATGGGCAACGCACCACCTGGTGCAAACAGCAGGATGCGTTTGCAGCCTGATCAGCTCAACCGTGGCATCCTCTCCCCAAAGACGCAATGAACCTTATGATTTATGACATCAGAAGCAGCACAGGAGAAAGCAGGTAAGACCAGAAAATGAGCCCGTCGTAGTCTGGAAGAAGTCGGGTCATCCTATATCTGGATGGACTAGTACCAGATCTGACAGACAGATGGGAGCTCATTCCTTAGTATAGGGGTGGGCAAAATGCGGCCCGGGGGCCGGATGCGACCCACCAGGCCACTCTATCCGGCCTGTGGGGTTCCTAAAAAATTTAGAAAATTAATATATACCTGCCCTGGGCTGCCTGTCATGCGGCCCTCAATGGCTTGCCGAAACTCAGTAAGCAGCCCCCTGCCCAAAATAATTGGCCGCACCTGCCTTAGTCCATACAGGTGCTGCTGCAGCATGAAAAAAATGAGTGAAGAAAGGCAATGCTGTTTATGCTTCAATGGTAAGAAAGAGTTAAATCAACCTATCCATACCCAAGTGCAGTTGCTATGGCAAATTCTCCCCTTCAAGGCTGAGTGAGCCGCTCCGGCCCCCCTGCCTTGTGCTTCTCAGATGGCCCAAGCCTGCACATGCCCGGCGCTCGAGCAGGCATGTCATGCTGATTACCGTGATAAATACACTGGAATAACAGCAACCCTAAGACGCGGCGTCACGCACCTGTGTCATCACTCTTTGACCAGTTTGGATATTATACCCTGCGCAAAGGACACCAAAGTGCAAGGCCCAGCATCTGCTGTCCTCCAGGGGCGTTGTTCCAGAGTTCGATGGACTCGGCTCTGGCCTTTACTCTTCTCAAACACTTGGCTGACTCCTGTGATTTTACTGCGAGTCTTGCCCTCTGCAGGGATTTTCTGGAATGAAGCCACTCTGGTCCTGAGATGACCTTGTCTTTCTTATCAAATAAGAGTGCGGAAAGCAAAGCCTGAAAACGCGTGACCCCTGGAAGGCTTAGATCATAAACACTAGAAAGCAAATGTAAGGAACCTGCTTGATTTAATTGTTCATGGGTTTTAAATTGAACACCTGCTTTTTTGTGAGCCAGAGCTAGGATTTTGGAAAACGTTGGCAGTAACTGAGGGGAATATAACCACTCCATCTGCTCCCAGGTTCTGGAGTGCAATGGGGACTTTGTAGAAGAGTGGGTGGGAAGTTTGCAAAGAGAAAGCCACCGGTTATTCTGCAATACAAAATGCAGTCAGGGGATCAAGAGGCTACTGGGCCTGTCCCTCCATTTGTTCCAAGGTGGCAAAATAATTGCCCAGCTGTAGGCAAGCCAGCTCAGATGGAGCAGCTGGAACAGACTGTCCCTGGAGGTGGCATTTGATTGCAGGTGGAGCGCACTAAAAGGGACCCAGAACTGCCACCTTTCTGTTTCTCCACAAAAACACTACACTTACATTGCAGTTTTTTTTTTCCTTCCCATGACCTATAATTCTCTGTCCTCAATAGGAAATAATAGAGTAGTGAAGTGGAAATGGTTTTAAGCTGTTGGCATGTCAGGAGCGGAGGGGTTAGGGAATTAATAGAAGTGTTTTGTTGCTTAGGCAGAATAGCATATGGCATCACTTTGCAAAAGTCTCCAGAATAGCTGGGCATACAAGGGGTTTGGTCCTGGGACCAATATAGAGGAGGGCAGAAGTGAATGCCAACCTGCCCACCTGGCAACGTGATTCCTAAGGGAACCCTTTGGAGGAAGTTATGCATTTCCTGTTTTTTTCCAACCAGGGCCTACAAGAGGGTGAGGTCAAGAGCAAATGAAGCTCATAAAGTTAACTGCCCGTGTTTCAATACCTGGAAGGCAAAGAACATTGCAAGGACTTAATTAAAGATGGGTCAATCCACAGATTCAGTGTCGATGCTTTACCATGTCAGAAGGTATGCTTTCAGCCGGAGGAGGTGGTTCCTTGCTGCTGCAGGATTTTCTCAAAGGGTGACAGAAATTGGGACGCTTGGGTCCACATCACTGATGTCTTTCATTGCTCAAGAAGTGGGATGAGGAGCACAGGGCAATTCCTTCCACTGGTCACATTTTAGCCGACACTCCCCAGTCAGGCAGGCGTGTTCCCCACACGCGCTGTGTTCAGTCTTGATTTCTAGTACTAGGTAAGAGTAATAGTCAAATAGCTGACTTTTCCCCTCCTTGGAGGACGGGAGGGTTTTGCTTTTCTCTGCTGTGCACCTCCCTAATTTTGCAGGAGTTTTGAAATGCAAGTATCAGTCAAGTAGTAAGAGTTCACTAGCTGCCTGCTGTTCGTTGGGTCTTGAGTCTGCCTACAACACAGTAACAACCATAATCAGTGGTCACCATCAAGGGTCTTCCTACGCCTAGTGGCCCCTCAGGCTAGCTTGGATAAGGCACACCGCTTTCTGTAGCCAACAGCAAGCAAGAAAGCAATGCAGGTAACATCATATCCAGACACCTTTGACTCCTTGTCTTGAATCACGAGGGGCACCACTTATAGCTGGGTTGGCTAGGAGCAGCCTTTGGCATGAATCTGGAGTGGGGCTTGAACTCATGTCTGTGGACCTGTAGCGACACACCTTGTTTCTGATCCATTTTTGAATCAACATATTGTGGGAACATTTGGGCAGCTCTCCCACCGTGTCTCAGCAGGAGATAGTGTGCCCTGCAGAGATGAATGCCAAGCAGCACCGGCAGCATGTAAGGCAGTGCTCTCTGGGACATCCAAGGCACAGAGCGAGGAAGGCCAGCCAAAACCATCTGACGCACAGTTGGGCGGGAGTGCTGTCCAGCCTGCAAATTAGCTATAGCGAACTGGTTATCTGTTGAACCCAGTGCCTGCTGGGAGAATCGCTTTTTGTTGCTGGAGGAGCTACAAGGGCTCCTTGCAGACATCGGACGTGCTACTTACTGGCGGGGAGGGTAGGAGTCCTGGTGGGCCTTTGCCTTGAGTGCTGTCTGGACCTGGGATGTGTTGGTCTGGCATGGACATGGAAGCTGAGGTCTCAAGCTGAGCCATGCTCGCTCCCTGAGCTGCTGAAATAGTGCAGTGCCGCTAGTCAAGCCTCACTTGCACCTCTTTATGAGGACTCGACTCCTAGGGTTTGCTTTCTTGTTAAACAGAGAAGGGTCTGGCAGCATCTGTAAAATGTCACGGTGATCGTGCTGTTGGAAAAACTGAGTGACCACTTCTGCAGTGGCTCGTGGCATCGGGGAAGGGGACTCCTTTTGTCCATAGTGCGAGACAGTTAACCCCCAAGACACCGCTTCGTGAGCAAGTCGCCTGCACTCTTTCATATCTGACAGTGCATGCTGCTCCCCAAACAGACAAGCTTGTAACCAGCTCGGTGCAAGACTCATTGCCCGGGGTGAATGGCTTTCTCAGAGGCATATCCTGTAAAATAGCTTATTATCTGAAATAGCAGATAATGCACCGGCTTTGTGAGGCGGGGATGAAATTGGAAGGAGTGTTAATGGCAGGTCAGCAGAGCCCAGAGTGAAAAGAAGGCTGTGGTTTGTAAAGAGTCCTGAGCGCCAGAAGCCAGGTTTCTATTTGTTCCTGGCAAAGGGACGAGCTTTACAGTGCAGAGCACTCCTGGAGTACGCACGCTAGCTCTTGTGAAACTGCTGACACCCTGCCCTGCTGTTTAACTTCTGCATTAAAAAAAAGAATAAACTTGCTGTTTGTTGCTGTCATGTTGCATCACAAGTGTTTTATTCCACACGCACCGCAGTGGAAAGTCAAGCCAGGGCATTGGTTAATCAGTAGCAAAGCATCAGAAAGGCTTCCTGTTGTTGTCGTGGTTCGTGGCAGCAGGCCTCCATGGCTGTGGCTTTTGCCTTCGCGGCAGAAGATAAGTTCTTCAGGAGCGTGGACTTTGCTTCCTTGCGTGCCAGAGCAGTGCTAACTTAGTTCACGGCTCAGCCCTATCACAATACAAACATCCCACGGTGCGTTATCAGACACACCCTCCCTGCTCCTGGTCTCGCTCAGTAGTATGGCCAGTCCTAGGCTTCCCTTTTCCCCTCCAGAAGTGAGCTGGCAAGTAATCGCACCACGGCCTTCCCTGGAATTCACCCTAACCCTGTAACCCTGGCCTAGTTATGTAGGTCAGTCCCCTACTAATTACAAAAGACCCTCTTCTGCCTCTTTCTAGTTTCCATCCCATGCCACCATCCTAATCACACTAGGCTTGCACTGGAGGGTAAGTCGGGGCAAGATGCCATGCCAGGTCAGGCAGAACACCCTCTCCACCACGTGGCCCTTGAGATGCTGGTTTGTGGATCCTAGCCAAAACCTGGCCAATTCCTGGCAGCTAACTAGAAGCCCTTTGCTGAGTGCTGTGAGCTACTCACAGCAGCAGTGCTTTTTAGTCCACGCATTTTAAGACCTGAATGCAATCACCCTCTATATTACCACACTAAATCACCAGAGTCATGACTTTTCTCTTTCTGAAGATGGTTTCCTTGTACTGCTCCTTATGTTCAGGTGATTGGAACGCATTGCTGCAGAAAAGGGAATTTGTCCTTAACTTACAAGGGCCCAGCCGTTGTTCTGGATCGCGGGTGATTGATATTAGCCATGTCGATAGGACTGATGACTCAAGAGAAGTCATGCTCCTGGTTTCCTTCTGTCTTCTGATGGGTCACCTACTCGCCTGTGGACTATTAGCCTGGATCAATGGAGCTATTCCAACACAAGTCCATTGTGCACGAAGGGAAACATTTCTCCATTCAGACCAAGAAGGCCTTATACTAAGCGAAATCATATTCTACCTGGTGCCCATCACTTCCTACCTCGTGCCTGCGCCAACGCACTTTCTTTCCTAGGGAAACTTGGCTTTGCTGGCAATTGCTGTCCTGCAAATTGGAGAAGAGGAGAAGGAAAGCTAAAATATGAACTGGCTTCTTACTGCCACGTCGGAGAAATCATGGGGACTATTAGCAGAGGTTATTGGAAAATCAAAGGGTTTGTGTGGGGAGATGGAGTGCAGCCAGCCTGGACAGAGATATTTACTGCTCTGCCGGCAGCGTTATACACTCTCAAATGGCTTGTTCCTCAAAATTGAGCACTGGCTAATTCGCTTTCTTCTCTGTAACTGGGAACTCAAATCTCCTCACTGAATTAAGCCATATGTAATTGCTGTGGGGCCTGGAGGAGCCTAGCATGAAGTGGAAAGCCAGAAGTGGAAAGCTCTCAGGGTATGGTATTTCAGTACTTATGAGCAAAAGGATCTTATGTGAACAATAGAAATCCAGATTTTTTTTTTTCTTTTATAGGGGGAAAGAAAGTAGAGATCAGGGTCACGTATAGTGCGTTCTTGGCCCGAAAAATTTCCTACCAGCCCTGGCAGTCTGCAAGCAGCTCATTTGTGCCAGGAAAGCATCCAGCTCCTCCTACTGAGCCGCGTGACCCACAACACCATTTTCAGTAAAACTCTGTGACCTGAAAAACTTTTAAAGACGGGTGCGCTTCATGCTGGGAAATTGGCTCCTTCAGAGCTGGCAGGAAGACGAGAGGGATTTCCTTCCAAATTTATCCTTAGAAACATGAATGCCGCTCCTAACATTTCTGATGCTCTTCCTACTCTAAGTAGGAGCCGATGTCTCTTACCTGTATCAGACGATGAAGCTAAGATCTGAGCTTTTCCCCCAGCCCCAAAATGGGCCAAATAGGACTGAAACCCACTCTGAGTGGGGCACTATGTGCAAGGGAAAAGCGCTCCAGCTAGCATGCTTTCCACTTGTAGAGGGAGCTGGACTAAGACTGTCTCACTAGATGCCTTTGCTGGCATAGCCAGGTCTCTCAGGAAGGCGGGTGTTATCCGGTGTAGTTGTGCCAGCCGAAGCCCATTTTCAATACAGTTTTCCAGCACAACGGCACTGCTGCCACTGCTGTTTGTGTTGCTTTGGGGAGCTGGCATGAGCTGCACTGGCAGGAGTGCAACTCGCTGGGTAAATGGTGTCCCTGCTGGGCACGCTTCACTGGGCTCAGCGTACTAGTGTCCACGCTGCCAGCCAACCCTTCTATTGAGACATAGCCTAAGCAATGCCCAGTCTTATCCCGGAGGCCAGCTCCTGCCGTTAACCAAGCCAGCGTGTTCAGCTTGGGGGCCTGGAGCAGGGCCCCGGACGAGATCTGAGGATACAGAGGTCTGCAGAGCTCCACCAAAACTATGTACTCAAGAGAAGAAGTTTAAATAAATACGAGTAGCAATTTAACCTAGGTGTAAAAATTAAGTTTCAAAGGGTGCGTCTACACGAGATGCTAATTGTGCAGTAGCCTAATAACACTGCTCAGTAGCGTGCCGGGCAACACCTGTGTTAATATGCTACTGCGCAGTTAGCATCCCAAAAACCTGTGTGCCGGTGTTACTGCGCAGTAGTGAGAGTTACAGCGCATTGATTTAGTACTTGGTTATCCAAGTACTCAACTTCTTGCGCAGTAACTACAGTGCGTTAATGAACATGTAGACGCGCCCAGTGAGCACTGATCTACATGGCCCGGATGGGCTATTCACAAGGACTGTAGCGCAAGTCCGAAGAGTGAAGATTTTGAGGTGATTCTTATACTCAGTATCCTCAGATTTTTAAATTTTTATATTATTTATACCTGCTTTCCTGGCTCAGCTCAGTTTCCTGGTTCCAATTGCTGAAAACTCTAGACATGTACTTAGTAGGTTATTTTACCAGTAATATGAATATAACCTCTGTCTAATTGAGTTACTGAGAGTACCTTGCCTATCGCCAAGCCAAAATGCTTATTTTTAATCACCTATGCAAACTCTATCTGCCCTAAACATAGATTTAGTTGGTATAAAACCACTACTTGACTTTAAGTAACCCTGAGCTGGTGTCTCTTAACCTCTCTTTCTTTTGCCTTTTCACCTCTTCTCCCCTATGATGTTTTCTTGCCCATTCATTTCCTTTGCCTCTTCTCTTAATCTGGCCTAACAGATGTCAGTAAAGGCTATAATACATGACCATTAAGCATCTTATGTCCTACTATAGCCATAAGAGTGGGGCAGTATGTGCAAGCCTACACATGAAAGCCCTGCAAGTCATTAACTGGGCCTCTGGTTACCTGGCAGCTACAGGATCTGGCCATACCAGCTCTTTAAGAAGCTGTGCATTCCCGGGCCGACACCTCTGCCGTTCATTGGGATGCATCTTGAAAACCAGAAAGCGAGTGACAAAAAATGTATGCTCTGCTAATTCTTTGTGCTGTGAGCTGGTTTGGATGATAATGGCTTTTCAGTAACCTGGCATCCTGGGAGGGAGAGTGTGTGGGTGCAAACAAAAATAACTTTTGAAATGTTTCCAAGTAAAACACACTTGGAAGTGGTTCAACAGGGGAAGGTCCCAGCTGGAGGAAACACGCATACGGGCTCTGTGGCAACTCCTAGCTGGTTGCAAAACTGCCATGGATGCCTGGCTCTCTGCTGCAGGGATTCTGGCTCCAGTCCTGCTTCCCTCTATCTCTCCTCTCTCCTTTTCACGGATGCAGAGGGATAGGAATTGGGGCCGAACAGTTCTGCATGCTACAGCCGCTCCCTGGCTCTGCAACCTCCAGCCCAAATCATCTCTGCCTCTCAGCTCCCCCTCTGACCCATGTCCACCCTGCTCTTCTTCCCTCCCACGTGAAGATCCTCCTGCATGCCCTGTGCACACATAACAGGAGCTCTTGCAGGGGGTTCGACCAGAGTGCTTTGAGAAGTACGGCAAAATATGGGGTTGAGTTTCCCACTGAATAAAACTCCCAGTTTGGGGCGCATGCAGGGAACCCCCAAACAGATACATTGCTGCCCTTTCCAAGGGATGGTTGCTGAACATAGCTTCTCTGTCTCCAACCAAGACCCCGTCCTGGCATTGCTCCCAGCTTCCCTGCACTTGCAGCGGGCTTTCCAGGATGGGAAGATCGTAAAGACGGCAGCTCAGCTTCTTTTGAATTTTGCAGCTCTGCCATTTCCCGGGAAACTGTGGCAACAGGAGCACAAGTCCAGGCAGCCCTGAGAGCAGCCCTGAGAGCACTGAATGAAGGAGGAAGCAAAAACTGCCCCACCCTGGTCTTGGCACCAGGTTTCTCACAAGGGGCTTCCCCAACCCTTACACCTGCAGGTAATCGCATATCAGATCAGTGTGGCCCAGACATATTGTCTCCGCTCCAGGTGAGCTCTCCTGGTCAGGGGAGGCATTACTCCTTTGACAGCCTAACAGCACCCCCCGCCCCCAAATAGCAATCCTGACTGCTGGGTTGCAAAGAAGCTGGGCTCAGAGTGAGCTCCAGGTAGGCTGGACGATCCAGCATTAGCTGGATAGACTTTTATCTCATCCCTCAGCCCCTCAGGGCAGGAGCTACCTTCCAACCTGGCTCTCTTCTTCAGGCACAATGCCAGCTTTGTGCTGGTAGGAACGCAGGGTCTCCTCACATTGCCCCTGGGAGCCTCAGACGGCGGGGGGATTGTTGCACGTACGGCTGGAAAGTTTAATGAAACCCACCCAAAGAACCTATCTGCCTAATGAAACCCACGGCAGGCAAGCTTCTTTGGGTAGATGTGACAGCTTTTAATAGACCAACGGAGCAGTTGTGGGGGTGGGGGGAAAAGTTCTTTGCAAGCTTTCAGACACAAGCACCCTTCTTCAAGCATGGGGAGTCTCTGCTGTTCTGAGATAGCTTATGAAACCCA